TTCTGTACGGACTTCAGTGCGTTCGATTGCCCTCTGCGATGTAAACACAGCGCGCTGTCAATACAACAAGGAGCGACGGCCTCTGGCGGCAGGTGTTAGCTTGCGCAATCACGACGCGCATTGGCGCCTGGTTCGCTAGGAACTGGACTCCTGGCACATGTCTGGTTACCAGGCTGGTTCAGGTCCGGAAACCTACTTATAGACTTTGTTAGCTGATAAGTATCTGGGTTCTAATGCTGCTTTGTTCAATCGCGTCGAAGTTCCAAGGCTTTCTACTACGCTGGTTCCGGTCCAGGGCCAGGAGTTCAGTTCAGGCGCTGTTCCTAGCCTGTTCCCAACCAGAGCCGCACGCCAATGCGCGTCGTGAATCGCATCCGCGACTAATGTACAGCATCCTGCCCCCGATCCAACCGGTGACGGACACAAACACCCAGTCCCGCGCGCCCGCAGCCACCACACCGATTCGCCATCCTCTCCCATTCAACGTAGGCGCGTGCCTGACTCGACCGCATGCTGGGAATCTGAACAGCCCTGAGCCGCGGGAGTCGGGGCGGCCAAGTGGACGCCACGACCACCACCAGCGAGCACCCACACCCGCGCGCGCCGAACGGGGATGGAAGAGCCGCTGTACACACAACGGCGCCGTTGTCCGCGCAGCCGGATCTGTCGGGTCGTTTCAGGACGGAGAACAGAAGAGCGCTGTGGCGCTGCGCTTCGACGCCCAGCGACACAGCTTTCTCCGTGCTTGTCAGACGTGGGTGCAGTTGCGACGTGACCGGACGGCATGAGAGCGTCCGACATTCTACTATTCGCTGTAGTACTCACCTATGCATTGCTTTGCTTCGCGTGGGGTGTTTCGATTTTCAAGGATACGGTGGTGGTGTCCTGAGCTGCTGTACACACATACAACATGTGATTCCCGCGCCCATACCAAACGTAGGGTAGTAAGAGAGGAACGGGGCGGATGCTGAGAGAGGCTATGACACAGGGTACATCCTAATGGGCAGATATATGCAAGGCAACAAGCAAGCCAAGCTATGAATGTGCAAAAATGAGGGGAACAGATCTGAGGTATAGATAGGCGGGCGGTAACTTCCGATGTTCTGAACCTGAGCGACCGGATGCGAGGAGCGTAAGAGTTCGTGCATGCCGCGATATGTGATCTGTGGACAGAGACGGGGAGCCTGCGGTCAGCGAGGCCGCGGATATGCCGTTGAGACGAGAAGATGGGAGAAGCCGCACATCGCTATGTAGAGATCCCGCTTAGCGGTGTGGAATGTGACGATGTCCGATGCTGCCCGTCGGCTTACGAGGGCGATAACGCCGAGATGAGATATCTTGCAGATGATGTTGCGCGTCTTCCCGGATAGCGGTGCTGATGGGATGAGGTACGTCGAGGCGGTGGGTAATGGGTGTGCGGGAAGTGGTATGCAGAGGCGGGCGTTCCGAGGCAGACGCGTCATGCCCTAAAGTGAGTCGTGCAGTGTCGTATAGCCAAAACTTGATGCGGTCGGGAGTGACTCCGTAGGGCATTCAGTGTGATGGTCTTGTGCAGCAAGGCCGGGAGCAGCACTAGAGAAGTTTTGATGCACGTAGGTGTTCCCGGACGACCATATCCTTCACTGAACCGCGCATATACCGAGTGAGCCTAAGCGCGCGAGATTGGTTCACAAGCACTTACCACTAGCAATGATGCCTCCCGTGGTAGTAGTGTCCTATGTGAGCGATACGGTGAATACCGAGGTGCGCAACGTAGTCCTGCTACAACTCACAGTTACTGATGTGCAGAAACCATAGAATTTGCGTGGAATCGGAGAATGCTCTCTGTGGATAGCGCTGAACTTGCTACGGAAGTCTATGTCACAGCCGGTGAGCAGAGGAGTCTCTGCGAAGCGGATAGGCGTAAGCTACTCACATTTCTCTACTACTTCGGGCTCGTTCGGCCTGTCCCCAAAGCTGCGAACATACTTGGCGAGGCGAATGCCGGACTTGAGTTTCGACGCCAAGATGTCGCACTTGTTCAAGAAAAGGACTAGGTCGACTTTAGCCAGAAGCTTGTTTGAGCAAACTTCTTTCCAGAGCAGCACACTATCCTCCTAATAAACAAGTCAGTGGTCCGAATGCAGGCTCCGCCATAAGCTGGGCTTACCAAGCGATTGACGCTGCGGTCTTCCACCAGTGTCTGATCAAAGGCTGAGATGGGAGCAAGGAAGATGATAGCTATACAAAAAATGGTGAGTTAGTAGCAAAAGCCGCCTTCCGAGAGGTACGGACCATTCACTGTTCAGATTGCGGTCAGGCCTTGCCAGAACAGGAATTACACTTGAGTACAAATGAACAACGTACCATCATCGAAGAAAGGCACCCATGTTGCTGAGACGAGACACGACATCAGCAATTCTCTCTGGAACGAGGCATGTGGTATACTCACGTCGCTGGGACAGACCTGCCGTCAGTCAAAGATCTAACAAAAGGGTAGACAGCTCCTGACCTGTGATCGTGACCCGCCCACGTCGATAATACGCCATTCGGTCCCAGTTTCTGGGCCAGCCTCCATGTGGAAACTGTACTCGGAGACGCCGACGGTCTTGAGGCGTGCCTTCAGCACGTCGTCTGCGGTATGATATCAGAACTGTACCACCCTCCTTCACGCTCCTTTGGGAACCTACCGTCCGACGGGAAATACGATAAAGATGTCACACGGGGCAAGTCGTTCAGATAGCTGCATTTGCGTTAGCCGTCACGTCGTCCAGGCAATGGAACCAACCGCTCACAAGCCGGGGCTCTCTTCGAGCCTGATCTTTCGGCGCCGCAGTATCTGTCGAACCACAGGGTCGTTCCACAGCGAGACCATATCCTGACAGCAGCGATGCAGGACGGTCTGCGACTCGTCCACAGTCTCCTGCCCTGTTGTCCCCGCGGACTGAGGCCTTCCTTGTGACCGCAGCTTCCAAGACGCGCCAGGCCGGACGAAGATTTCCTGATGGTGGAATGCGTGCGAGGGCATGCCGTGTGCGCCTCCGTAGTGCGGCACGTTGCCGTTGACGCTGTTGCTTCCTCCGACACCAAGCGTAGTCGCCTCGTGTTCGTTCGGCGGTACGAGTTTAGCTATCAGAAGAGACTCGACGTGATGTAGAGGGTAGAGCCGTCGGCGGAGTTCCTCCAGGTGGTACGGCAGTGAGACATGGTTCTCAGATTCTGAATCGGAGTCAGGGTCGGAGGTGTATGTCGACGAAGGGTAAACGTCCCGTCGCCGGACGTCGTTCAGGGCCTCAAGTATGGTATGGATAGATCGGACGATGTTGAGCTGGATAACAGCACGCCATAGTATGCGCTCCTCCCTGAAAGCGTTCGGGGTATATAATCGTTGAAATTCTGGAGAAATATACGTGTGAGTATGCGGGCGGAAGCCATGCCTAGAGAGAAAGCAAAGATCAAAGGCGCGACATAGAGAGAGGAAACGCGGGACGGGAGATAGCCGCGCGGATAGGCAGACTCCGGCGAAGGCTAACAAGGCAGGAACAGACCCGCGCAGCCTTCTGCACCGGTCGGATCGACGATCATGAGGTGCTCTTCGATGAGCAGACTCGAAGGCTGGCGCCCTCTTCGCGAATGGAAGGATGAATGACTCACGGCGTAGCGTGGTGGACTTGCCTAGGGTATCATTCAGCATATGTGCCCCGACGGGGCGTATGCACAACGGACGCACCGGACTCGCTTTGACCGAGCAAGAGTAGTCTTACAGGCTTGCGCTTTTTGCGCTGTTTGTCCTCGAGCCTGATGGCCTCGTCTATGGCGAGACTGACGCGCTTGGCGGCCTCCTCCTCGGCGAGACGCTGTGCCTTCTCCTCCTCGGTCTCGTCTATGGGTGGTCTAAGGGCGGCGGAGAGGGGGTCGCGGTCTTGGGGTTCTCTGGAGACGGGCATGATAAGATGTTCGTGAGGGAGAGGAGGAGAAGGAGGAGATGATGAGGACGGAGAGAGATGGGACCGGACGAGGGCTCTAAAGAGGCAGAGGAGATGCGGAGAGCGAATTGGTGACAGTCATGGACGCCTACACCAGAGTGCAGGTTCCGCTTTCGCAGGCGTCTATCCCTGCTACTTACTTTTACTTATACGCGCGCTGTAGACGCCGGCATCTGCTGGTGATTTGTATTAGTATATTCACCGCGGCCGTGCCTTGCAAGCCCTTGACCCGACCAAGAGTCCATCTCCGGCTAACCCGGACTTGTGCAATGTTCCCTCCGTCGCGCGACTCCTTGATCTCCGTTGCGATGCCCTCCGCGACATCTGGTTTCACCGACGCCGTCGTCCAGCGACCACACTCCTCTCCTCACTCCCTCACTCCCACTCGGCCGTTCTTGTCCAAGCTGCATCATCACCGTCGGCCTGCACCGCCGGAAATGAACTTACTACCTACAGTACGCGTCTGCAAACCTTGACCGCCCGTTGATCGCCCTTGATCGCGCTGCGTGCTGACCAACATGGCCAGAGTATGAATGAATGAGGACCCGGCATGCTGCAAGTCTCAAGACACGCCTTCCGCGGTCGCCTGGCTTCTGGGCACACCTCCTTCTCCCAGCGAGCCCTTATTGAAGTCTATGTCCCTCGTAAGCCATCTCGCGCGAGCCGTGCCTGTCTGCCAGGCACCGAAGCATCCTGGGAACCATCCGGTGCGGTGGGAAGCCTGGGGAAACCTTGCAGCAGGTCATGACCTCTTCTGTGATGGCGCTACCCGGCCATGAGGCCAATCAGCCCCTCCCATGAGGACCCACTTACGGATACAGTACAGGGTCTCCAGAAGAATCGCCATCGGTTGTCTCTGCGTTGATATCAGGATGTCAGGATGTCTTGTCGGGCACGCGAGATCACCGGTGATGATAGACGTTTCAGGGCGTGCAGTATTGCTGATGCAGTGGTGATGGTATACTTGTGACTGAGGAGCTTGCTTAAGCTCCGAGAAACACTGCCTCATAGTTGATCTATTACCAAGCTCGGTATGGCTACCTGGCGCAATGGTAGCGCGTTTGGCTTCGATCGCCGACGGCACCAGTCATTTGACACCTGGTCGTGGGGAACCAAAAGGCTGCAGGTTCGAGTCCTGCGGTGGTCATCTTTTTCCAATCCTTTATCTGCGCCTTCTAAACCACCTTATTCTGCTGCCACCAGCTCATCAAGATACCCAGCAGATTCCTGCGATGATTGCGCGTCATTTGAGTGTATAATGCGACGAAGTGTTGATTGAGGAAGGGTCGCATGATCTTGGAGATTACGGGTCACGGTTCTGCGGGAGTACCGCGTACTACTTCCCAGTGCGACCGCTCGAGCTCTTTGACTCGCACCCCAATCGTTCTGAGTCTGTCAGCGTCCGTCGATTTGGGTTACGAAGCAGAGGAAACAGTCAGTCGTGAAGCTCAGGCCGTACCGAACCCTCCAGTGCCTTCACTTAGTGTGATCCGGAGCGGTAGGCACGCCGCAGTTACAGTATAGTAATGTCTCCGCAAGCTACATCATCGCATACCGCCGGTGAAGGAACGCGGCCGGCGGCCCAGCGCGTTCGCCGGCGGTATGTCAATCGCAATATATCACCACGTATCATGACGCCCAGCGCCGCAACTGGCACACACAGACGTCGGATGTCCCCAATGTATGCAGCCACTGCGATGGACGCATGAGGCCCTCGGCGTCCTACGAATACCCAGGAATCCAGCGGCGTACCTCGTGCAGACCTCACCCTGTCGTTCCTGACCGCTTTACGCAGCTCGGATCCGAGAGAATAGGGCACGACAGGCTTCGCGCACCGCAGAGGCCAGGCGCGCTGAGCCGTGGTATGTGGGTGCAAGGCACAGGTACAGCAGACGGCGTGCCTCGCGCGACGGCGTCTTGGCCCTTGGGTGTGCGAAGCCAGGCACGGGCTGCCTCGTGGATATTGACCGCCTGCAGCGGCGCGCTCGCACATGCGGGGTGCTGGGTGGGCCGGGAATCTCCGTTCCGAATATACGTAACGCGACGGCGGTGCGGGGAGCATTCGGCGTTCAAGGCGCTGGAGACGGAGATGATGGTTGGGCAGATAGATTGCTGACTTGTGTAGAGCGCGTTCGTCATACCGTACAGACGGAAGGAGCTAATAGTTGGTTCGGGTGGTGAATGTCACCGGCAGGCACCAAGGTACTCACATGGGCATCTGCTTGCCAGCTGTGGAGCGTGAGAGGGGAGAAATTCAGTGAGATAGTTTAGGAGCCAATGTGCCCGATGGTGACTTGTCGGAGTGGGCGATGCAAGGTCATACGCCGGCGCGATCGCGAAATTTCGACAAGTGGTTGAAATGATAGACTGACGCAGCATGCATCGCGCATCACGATGCACGAATCCCAGCGACAGATACGTCTTCTGTAGAGCGCCGGATAGTTATCCAGGGGTACAAGCATACAAGTCCAATTGGGTCTTCTTCCTGGTACATCCTACAAAATCTAGACCAGAGGCGACACGAGGTACACCCCCAGATTACACCGACTACGCCCAGCGTCAGAACAGCCACGGGCCCACTGTCAACGAACGCAAGGGCGATCAGCAGGTCTCCCCGACGCAAGGTACGAGAGTACGCACCTCTCCCTCTCTCACCCTCGGGCTTGATCTGCAGGCAGCTCTGGTGGATGAGGTTGAGCGCCTTGACGGCGTCGCGTCCGTCGATGACGCAGGAGATGTTGATCTCGTTCGCGCCTTGGCTGATCATCTCGATGTTGACGTTGCCCTGGCCGAGCGTGGTGAACATCCGCCCCGAGATGCCGATCATGTTACGCATCGACTTCCCCACCAGCGAGAGGATGGCCATGTCACGAATCACGGTGACCTGCGTGGTATGAGCCGTGCGCAATCATAATTATTGACGAAAGCGAACTCACAGTGCCGCTTTTTCTGAGTTCGCGCACGACGCGGTCTAGGACCTTTTTGTCGAGGTTCTCCTCAATGGCCATACTGACGTAGACCTCACTAGTACTGATGAGATCGACGACGACACCGTAGCGGTCCAATGTGCCGAAGATGGTAGCAAGGAAGCCATGCGACACATTCTTTCGGTTCGAGTTTACGTTCAGGACGATGATGTGTTCCTTGATCGTCACCGCTGTCGGCTGCCGTACATGGGCGTGCTTGTCTACTATCGGCGACGCAAGGGGAAGACTTGCTTTGCCCACCGACGCCGTAGGGACGACTGGCGGGTAGGGCGTATCTGCGCCGTTAGGCACCGCGCAAGGGTCGACATCTGGGTCTGGATGGATGACCGTGCCACCGCCCTTGGGATTCTCGACGTTTTTGATGCGGATAGGGATTTTACGTCGGATGACCTGCAAATACTGTCAGTTCCTGGTCCCTGGCGGCACACCAAACTCAAGCGACCCTACCTGGTCCATAGTGAATGGGTGGACGACCTCGCTCCCGTAGTAGGTGAGCTCGGCCGCTTCTTCGGGAGAAATAATCGGGATTAGCCTCGCGGTGGGCACCTTCCGAGGATCCGCGGTGAATATCCCGTCGACCTCCTTCCAGATCTGCAGCTCGGACGCGCCTAGTCCAGCGGCGAGCAGCGCAGCAAGCAGGTCAGTGTACCCGCGCCCCACCTGCCTGAGAAGCGAGCCAGGGACAGGGCCGAAGAAGCCTAGGATAGCGATGAGGGCTCAGGCTGCGCATGTGTATGTGAGAGCTTACCGGTCACTACAGGCACGCGGTTCCCGCACTGCTTGATTCGCTCCGCGACGATGTCTGCTAATCTGTCGTAGAAGTCCTGGCCCAGGGTATCGGAATCCGAGAAATTCTCGCTCTCGGAGGGCGGGACGATGCTCTCTAAGCTCACAAACTCTGCATCGATGTTCTGCGCGACATGAGTCCGAAGTCTCGTCCGTATAGCAGAAACCTAGCCCACCCGATCTCGGAGCACAGCTGTAACAAGCTTACAGCCGAGCCGTTCACCGAACCCGATGATACTGTCTCTAGATCTCGGTGAAATCTCGTCGATAACCTGGCAATAAAGGTCAACTCCTCCTTTATGCATATGACTCGGTTCATGTATAACACACACCTGAGTAGCAAAAAGGAACGATCGAAGAGATTCGCAGTCCCGATCTATTTCAGCCTCTAAGTCCTTGAGGATCTCAGGATTCCGCACTGTCGCCCTTGCGGCATTGACGTGTTCTGAACGAATAACGTCTACTGTGTTGCTGAAGGCGGGCATAGATGTGACCGGCGACATTGCTAACGAGGAGCCGGGGGTATCAGAATTCGGCGAGGACTTCCCAGGACTGGCAAAGGGAGACTTGTACTGAGCAAGCCGAGTGAAGTTTCCAGCAGGAGACATAGTCCCGGGAGTCTCTGAGGGTCCATTGGTGCGCTGCAGAGCTTCAGATGCAGCCTTCAAGAGAAGATTTGTTGTGCCAAGAGCTTTTGTGGACCCAGATCGTGCAGAGCAAACAATCGCCACTTTGTGTTGGTCTAGGTACTCACTGGCTCAACGAGAGGTTCGAAGGTAAGTGAAATGAGCGACGCGCAGCAGTAGACGGATTGTACGGACGGGATGATGTCCTCAGCGATTTTGGCGGCAAACTTCCCTACACTGGTCCCTCCATACTTTTGCACGAGCCACTTGGCTGCGGGGTCGACTGTGTTTTGATGCATATTCGGAGGCGTACGCGGGGTAGTAATCACGGAAAGAGAGGAGGAGCGCGAGGAAGGGGCGGAGAGAGAAGTAGGAGTGGATGCTAGAGACATGGCGGGGCTGAAGCACGTCTGGGCGATCTCACCGGCGTATATATCCCTCACTCGCCGATGACTCGAGCAGACTCATACAGATCTTGCTCTTGCACATCTTTCGCTCCGTCAACGCCCAGCGACAACGGACCTTCCGAGGCCATCCGCATGGTCTGCTTCTCGCGGATACAAAACTTTCGACCGCCAGACGATGGTGCTTCGAAGAGTGCGCTGGTGGCCGGAGCGAGAACACCCGAGAGCATCAGTCCGGACGATTCTTATAGACCCCATGACGAGCAGCATTTACGCCGAGGGCCGAAGGACTTCTCAGAGGTGACGGGAGAGAGAAGACTGGTTTGGATGGATGGCCTGAGAGACCGGAGAGTGCAACCAGCTCACCTCTCGGAGCTCGCTCACCTGGCCTGCAAGCATCAGTCAAAATGAAACCGCCTGAACGCCTGAACTAGTCCCGTATAAGGCCGTTTGACCGAGATGCTATAGGTTGGCTAAGGTCGTCAATTAACTATTAGTTACCGGTAACAAAGGTTGTAATGCGGATACGCGCCCGGCATAATCTCGAGGACCGTCGCGTACACGTCGGTATCTGCTGCCAGTCTGCTGCCACAGCTGCTCCCCTCCATCATCTCGCGTACACCCGTCCCCAGCATCGCGCTTCGTGCCGTCCTCAACGAGTATGGCGGATGCGTCATTCAAGGACGTGCCGGAGATATTCGAAGTGTGTTCATCCGTCTGCAAGCCTCATGAACGTTTCACGAATGATGTTCGTTAGGTCGAGCTCACCGAGTCCCTGATTGCACGCACCGAAAGCCTATGTGAGTTCGACGCACCTACCCCTTGCGCACAACTGAGTTTGCCTCAGCAACATTTCGAGAGCTCGGCCCTCCTGACCTGGTCCATGTGTTGAAGAGTACTGGGCGCAGTGGACAGCGAGACGTGAGTGTACTGCCTCAATCCATGGGAGCCACCGTCCAACCTCAGTCCGCAGCTCGGGTCATACCACTATGTTTCTGGCGTGGACGCGTCATCATCCGCGTCTCTAGCAGCGTACATCAACTCCCTGACCTACAACATTGAAGACGACTCGGGCTGGTTCTCAAAGGGGACCTCTTGGAAGGTCAAGAGCGGGTGCTACTGGTGAGTGGAGACAACAACATCCCCCTGTCAGGTATGTTCAGTTAAGATCATAGTTGCTTCAATGCCTTCTCGCGCGTCGACGTTCGTGTGGATGTCAAGATTCCTGGTGGTGTACAAGCTTATGTTGTCGACTTGCGCGGCGAGAGGTACGCACATTGCTGCTCTTTCCCGCGTGTCTGGCTCAGATTCCGTCAGACATGAAGCCACTCCTGAGATCTGGCA